TCTTCTCCTACCTTGGCTCCCTCTTGCTCCCCTGTCTGCTCCTCTGCTGTACGGCTTTGCTCCCCAACATGAGATAAGGAGGCAACTTCAGGCTTTGTGGACTCAGACTGAAGACTGAAGATGGCCTTGACTCTTAACCACACTGTGACTTTTACCCCAACAGAAACAAAGAGGGAAGGTGTGTGTTTTAGACTTCCCAATACCCATGATATATATCCAAGACTGAAGAGGGAAGCTTTCTTTATTTATTTCTAAGCATTTCTTTCCAATCTGGAGAGGTCTGGTGCCGCCAGCCGCCCGGCCGCCGTCCTCTCCTCCCGGCCATGGCTCGCCCTCCAGGAGGGTCGGAAGAGTTTTTGTGTTCTTGTTATGTGAGGAACAGACTTACAAGTATTGGTTGTGTTTTTATCAGATTTTTCCTAAGGATGAGCATTGGAAGGATTCATAAAATATTTTTTTCTCCCTCCTTCTACCTTTTCCCCTTGTAAATAAGACCTAAAATGCTTCTACAGGGATGGCAGTTGTTGGTCAGAACAGAAGTGATGAGATAGCTGGGCCATGTTTTCTTCCTTTTCCTCCTTCACCAAGTCATTTTTTTAAAAAAGAAATTTACAGATACATATGAGCATATTTTCACATGTAATATTATTTAATTACATGCTTTCATTCAAATGAATTCAGACATTTTTGTACTTTTCTTTGAAAGAAATTGCCTTCTGCAGAGGCTGTGGAATGGGGGGTTGGGAAGCCCCAGCTTCCCCATAACCTGTCTTTCCCCTCCTTCATTTCTAAATGTTGGTTTGGGCTGTTCTCTTTTCCTGTATTAAAGCAAAGTAACCCCCTCACCCAAACAACAACAACATAATAACAACAACAACAACAAAACCCCAACAACAACAAAGCAGTGAAAATAGGAATTCAGGCTACATTTTTATTTCAATGTATCAAGCCAAAATTTAATCAGATATCTCAGAGTACCTTACTTCTTGAAAGGACTTGAAAAACCTTCACCATCATATGAAGCCCAAAATATAAGTAGACTCAGAATGAATTCCTGCTCATGTACTTTGGGCAGCTCTGTCTTTTTCATGAGTCACAATTTAATTTAAAAAAAAAAAAAAAAAAAAAAAAAAATCAATGAATCTTTCATTAATATAAGAGCAGCTAAGAGCACTTCAAGGCTCTATGCCCCATAGGTGTTCAATTCTTATTAATTAACAGTGATGAGCAAAGGCTTCCACTGCGATTCTCATTGACACTGTCTGAGGAATGTATTTCTCTTTGGTTTTCTTTTTATCTTGTGCTTATATCAAAGATTTCCTTGAATTCTACCCTTATATTATCCAAGGGAAAAGTTTTATACTGAGACTTTCCTCCAACTCTGAAAAATATTATTTTTAAAGACAGATAAATCAAAATCTCTAGTTATTAATTTGTTATGTATTCTTTTTAGCGCTTTTCAATTCCAAAGAGATTTATAAGGATTAACTGGTTAGGCTTTCACTCTGCAGTAAGTGGCATTAACCCCAATTTCTGGAGGCTAAGAAGAAATGCCTCAGAGTCACCCTGCAGATAAAGATCTGTGTGAGGATTGAGATGCTGGGTGTACTTCCCATTACAGGGTAGGTATAGTGTGAACTTTTATCGATGTACTCAGAGGGCATGGACATCGCTGTCCCAGGGGATTCCAGATTTGATGGAGGCAGATGTTCCTCTATAAGAGAAGTAGCACTGCATCCTGCTGGATCCTGGTCAGTCTGCCCACTAAACAGACCTATGCCTTGGGACCCTTTTTCTACCTTCCCATGAGGAAAACGAGGCTGTTAAATGGCTAACAGAAATAGTTGCCTTGCTGTCTAGCCAGCTAGCTCAATGGGTTAAAGTGCCTGCTTAGGCACATGTCCCCCCCCCAGGGTACACTGAGATGGCCATTGAGACTGGGTGTGGGGATGTGTGCC